GCTCTCTTGGGGCCGTCTTGGGTGCCTCTCGGGGCGTCTTGGGGGCGCTCTCGGGGGCCTCTTGTGTCGTCTTGGGGCGGGCTGGGGGCCTCTTGGGCTGTCTTGGGCCGTCTTGGGCATTGTGAAAGATCAGACATCGTGCATAAAGACAATGTCCGATCATCTTTGGGAATTTGACGGTTTTTGCTTCTTGGGTCCCTCTAGGGAGTGCTCTTGGAGGCCTCTTGAGGCGTCTTGGTTGCGTTTTCGGCCGACTTGGGGCCATCTTCGGCGTCCTGGACCGATCGTTCGGCAATTCGGGGCCCTCTTGGACCGTCGTGGTGGCTTCATGGGACCCCCTTGGGCCTCTTGGCCCCGAAAAAGTCACAAGGTCTGCGGGGGGGCACGCCAGGAGGCCCAAAAGATTTGGCAAAATTCGGAGTCCCGGCCCGCAGGAGTGAGGACTGAGGCTGAAACAATTATGCAGAGAGCCTGAGTTCAACTCGTGCCTCAGGGCACGATGGCGGACGAGGAACAGTGACTAGGGAACATTGGTCAAGTTCCCAGCGGGAACGCCGCAAGCTGTCGCGCTCTCTCCCGCCTACTCTCCCACTGCATAAACATAGCACCCGGGTCTCACCATAGGCAGGAGCTGCCGCCGACAACCATCGGGGTCCAATGCAGACGTTACCAGGTGCGCGACGCCCGCGAGGTGCGCCGCCCGTGCCAGGTGCGCCACGCGCATTTGGTGCAGCAGGTGCCTCATGGGCCCAAACGTACCAGGCGCGACTGGTGCGCAAGATGCGCCACGTGCTCCACAGGCGACCAGTGTGCCACGCGTTGAGTGTGCGCCAGGTGCGCCAACGCACGTCACAGCAAACATCTGACAATATGTCGACCCCACCGCCACCATCCTTGTCCTCATTCATTAAGAAGTGAGGGCGGGGTTACCTGCATTCTGAATCGTGTGTGTGTGTGTGTGTGTGTGTGTGTGTGTGCGTGCGTGCGTGCGTGTGTGTGTGTGTGTGTGCAACCGTAGTCACTTCGCATGTTTTTTCCAACAGGGATGGTGGGACTGCGCGCAGCGGGCAGATCACACCCCCGCTCCCTGTCAGTCAACGATGCAGGGTGATCGCGGGGTGCGCGAACATAATTCAAATTTTGAAGATCAGTGCATTTTTCATTTCTTTTGACAGGGATGATTTGGGGGGTCTGCGTTGTTCCTGGCCGGTCGCCTGTCGAGTGGGGGAGGGATTGTTCACTAAAAATGAGCAGTGGCAAACCCTATCCCCATAGGGAGTAGTAGACCCCTCCCAAAGGGGAATAAGGTAGTTGGAAGAGGAAGCGCCATATATCATCTCCGCCCAGAGGGCTGGTGGTATTCTGCGTCAGGCACGATTGCGTTGGACCCATAAAGCGCGACGGCTGGGTCGTCGGAGGGGCTGCGGATGCGCGTGCATACGCGTGTCTCTTGGATGCTCCTGGAGCGGTCGCCGGGAACATTGCGCAAGATGTTAGCTTGTTGCGCAGATAGACGGTGCTCTTATTGTGCTGTGCGAGCCGACCAAGCACCGGTGCCACAATGTCAGTTTGGGAGATTCATCCTCAGGTAACAGAGTGGGAAAGACACGCTTGGAAAGCTCATGGGCTTACAGTTTGTTCCCCTTGTTCCGACGGTCATGGGAACGTGACCCTCCAATTTGCCCCCACCCCCCCCCGCCCCCCACCCCCCCTCCCCCCCCCCCTCGACACTCGCGCAAGTTTCTGCCAGAGCGGGCGCTTGGGTAAACGAAGAGTTCTGGGCATGGGCAAAGGCTGCAGGGCCGAAGCACGTGGGGTGTCTGCCTCTTGGAGCAGCACTGCGTGCGCTCTGCTCTCGTCCGTCCGCCTCCCTCGCTTCTCCGCTCCCAGGCGGCGGGCGGATTCTGGTCGTCTCCGCTGCTGTGTTCTGCCGGTCGACTTTTGTGAGATCGCGCGGCCGGGGTTTCCAACGGCATGCGTGCGGGAGGCCTGGATCAGAGTGGACCAGGTCATTTCGTTTCGAGAAACAAGGCTGAACGCGTTTTGGAGGCCGCGTCGAATAGGGCGAGCGATTACGCCCGTTTCAGCGGTGCAGAACTTGGGTTTTCTCCAGCTGTGCTTGCCTATACGGGTGTTAGCTCGATGCGAAAGAACCCCCTAATTTGCTCTTCACGCATCCTCTGTTGCGCACGGCTTCCTTTCTTTATCATGATATCCTCTGCTATCCGCACGGCTTTTTATTTTGCCCCTACACGCGTCCTCTGTTGCGCATGGCTTCCTGTGCTTTCTCTGATGCGCATCGCTTCCTCAGTTTCGCATGGCTTCCTCCGCTATTCGTATGGCTTCCTCTGCTATCCGCCTTGCTTCCTCTGCTATCCGAATGGCTTCCTCTGTATCCGCATGGCTTCCTCTGCTATTCCATTGGCACCCTCTGGCAATTCCAATGTCGTCCCTACAATCGTCCAACAATCGTCAAACTCAGAAGTATAGTAGAGTAGAGTAGGATTATGTAGGGTAGAGTATGGCTGGATATGGTATAGTAGAGTAGGGTAGAGTAGAGCAGAGTAGAGTAGGGTAGATGGTAGAGTAGTGTCGAGTGGAGTAGAGTAGAGCATGTTAGAGTATATTCGGATATCTGTTAGACGGGTATGATTGAAGAGTGTAGAGTAGAGTAGATCAGAGTAGAGTGGAATGGGGCGCTGCTAGTATGTAAGGGTCGAGTAGAACACATTATATTAGGAAGTCTACATAGAACTAGAGTGGAGTAGAGCAGAGCAGAGTAGAGTACAGTATAGTATAGTATCATGTTAAGGCGGGGTAGGGTAGGACAGGGTAGAGTGTAGCAGAGTAGAGTAGAGTAGAGTAGGGCAGGCGGTATCATAGAGTCGGGCATACTAGGGTAGGAAAGAGTAGAGCAGAGCAGTGCAGAGCTGCGGAGATGAAAATCTGTTGGCGCAGAGCAGAGTACGAGTGTACTAGAGTCGAGTCCGCCCGGTCGAGCGAGTCAGGGGGCCTCGCCTACTCCCACCTCCCCTCCGGCAACATAAAGAGTCGCGTGCGGCACAACCGGATGCTCCGATTGGGACGCGCTCCCACCTCGCCAACGACAAGGTCAGAGGCCAGCAACATATGTACACGTACGCGGTTAGTTTCCCCTGGAGTGCGTGTCAACGCGGACGTTCGTGCAGGTAACACCGCTGAGGGCGTACATGTACATATGTCGTTGCTCGCCCACAAGGCGCCCGCGCGCGGCCCCGTTTCTCCGACGACCTGGCGAAGGGAACGACACGCGGGCCGCGCAGGAGCGGCGCCGGCAGCCTCTGCGCTGGGCGCGGCGACGTCGAAGCATGCGCCGCGCAGGCGCAGCACTGCCACCCTCGCCACCGAGCTTTGCGGCGCACGGGCGAGGGCGGCATCTCACCCGCCCTCGCGCGGCCCCGCCACCGCCGCCGGCTGTGCGCGGTTGGCGAACGAAGCGTGCTTACCAGTTGGAAACCTATCCCTACCCCTATGCTTGACATCGCCTCACCTCGGTGCCGATCCTGAGGATTCCCTCAGCTTCTGAGGGCCTATCCCTAAGCTTGTCCCTCGCTTTTTGCTCGCCCGCCTTGGGGACAGGGATAAGTTCGAGGCCGGGCGGGCGTGGCGGCGACTCCGCGCCGCGTCGGGGCGGGAGCGCCAGCGTCAGGCGAAGTGTGCGCGGCGCCGAGGCGCGGGCTCCATGCTCGCCCGCTCGCGCGTCGACGGAGCGGCGGGCGCGAGCTGTGCGGCCGCGCCCCCGGATGGAGTGCAACTCCCCGGGAAGAGGGGCGCGGCGCCGAGGCGAGGGGCGCCGTCTCGGCCCGTCGCGCGGGGTCTGCGCCCCGTGCCGTCCTCGCCACGCGTCTGGCAGCACGGGCGACGCAAGGTCCATGCTGGGACGAGCTCGTCGATGTTCTGTATTCTCTTATCGGTGGGACGGGACCACTCGGATGGGGCGACTGTCGGCCAGCCCAGGCCCAGAGATATACTAAGGCATAGGGATGGAGTAGGAAGAGGGTGGAGTAAAGCAGGGCAGGTTGGGGAGAGGTAGGGTAGGGTGGGGAAGGGTAGAATAGTAAAGAGTAGGTCAGAGTAGAGTGGAGTAGGGTAGATGGTAGAGTAGAGCAGAACATGTACTAGTAGAGTCGAGTAGATCAGAGCATAGTAGAAGAAGCAGGAGAGCCGAGCAGGAGTAGAGTAGGAGTAGAGTAGAGCAGAAGGTAGTATAATAGAGTAGCAGATAGCAGAGGCTATCAGAGTCGAGTAGAGTAGAGTCGAGCAGAGTGTATCAAGTTATCGCAGTTTAGGGTATGGGCGCAGCCGGAGCGGGGCGGGGCCAGGGTGGGGCCAGATCTGCTGCGAGGGCGGCCGCGGCGGCGGACGCTGGCGGTCCGCAGGCGGAGAGCAGTCCGCGGTCCATGCCACATCGTCGGCGGTGGACGTTCCCGATGCCCTCGGCGCCGCTTCGGCAGGCGAGTGAGGCCTCGCGGGCCGCATCGCTCGTTCGCACGCTGGCGCCGTGATCGCTGCGCCGGTCGGCTCTGCGCTCCGCGTCTCTGCGGGCCTCTGCGGGCGACGCCGGACGTCGGCGGCCGCCAGTGTCCCCACCACTGGTGCAGGCAGGCGGCCGCATCCCTGCCCGTGCAGCTGCGCCGCCTGCTGCCCCAGTGCCCCCTGTTTTCGGCCCTTTGGAGCTGGACGCCGACGAGCCCGCCATGGGGGTGTTCGAACGTGGTGATCCCTGCTCGCCTGCGTCCTCGTCGCCCCTCGTCGCCCTCGCCCTCCTCGTCCTCGCCGTCCTCGTCGCCCGTCGCCCGTGCGTTGTCGCCTTCGTCTTTCTCCGCCGTCAACGGCCCCTCTTGGCTCGAGGTCGCTCTGGCTCAGGCCAGCGGCCCCAGGGGGCGCCTCGGCGCCCCCACCCGCAGGGGCGGCGGCCGGGCGGCGCCTGCGGCGCCCCCGCGCAGGCCTCTCCGTGGCGGATGAGGCCTGCGGCGCCCGCGCACCCGTCGCAGGCGGGCCTCCGAACGCTGCGGCTCGCGCGGGCGCGGTCGGGCCCCTGGAGGGCGGCCGCCGCCCCAGCGGCGCCAGCGCCGGGCCGGCGGTCCGGGGCGGCACGACCGAGCCCTCGGCAGTTGAAGAAGACAGGTCGCCATGAACGTCCGCGCAGACTTTTTGGATCCGCGCCGGGCTCCCTCGGGCGGCGCCTCCGGCGCCGCCCCTGGCGCGCTCCGCGCGCCAGGGAGGGGGTCCAGCGCAGATCCAAGAAATCCGCGGGGAGCGCCAAAAGTTTACGTTTATGGCGTTCTTTCTTCTTCGACGCAAGCCGGCCCGCTTCGGTGAGGGCCCCCTCGCCTCGCTCCAGGGCCACGGGCAGGGCGGGGCGGGCGGGGGGAGGGGGAGCCCCGTGGGCCGAGGGGTGCCCGTCGCGCAGGGGGGTCGTCGCCAGAAAAGGGGGTCGGTCAGGCCGCGCCCGAGGCGGGGGCTGTTCCAGGGCGCCTTCGGCGGCTGCAGGCACGGGGATCCGCGCCTGCTGGCCCTCGCCGCGACGTCGGCGGCGCTGCAGCGCCGCGCGCGGCGAGCCGGCACGCTCCAGGAGGACCTCGCAGACCTGCGGCACTTGGCGGACCGCCCAGCGGGCCGCGCCGGGCGGGGCCGCTGGTCTCCGCCGAGCGCCAGCGGCAGGCGGGGGCAGAAGCCGGCCGCGGCGTGGTCGGGCGTGCCCAACACGGCCCCGGCCGACCAGCGGGCGGTGGACGAGCGGCTGCCGAAGATGAGATGGAGGAACGAGAGACTGCCCATCCACGACGTCCTGCCAGAAGTCCTCAGGCACGTCCGCGAGGACCCGGCCATGCTTTTGCACGCGCCGACCGGCGCGGGCAAGACGACGGTCGTGCCCCTCGCGGTCTTGGAGGCCGGCGCCGTGGCAGGCAAGATACTCGTGCTGCAGCCGCGCAGGATCACTTGCATGAGCGTCGCCAGGCGGATGGCCTACCTGTCCGGGGAGCCACTCGGCGAGTTCGTGGGTTACCGCATCAGGCACGACACAGTGGTCAGCAACAGGACGCGCATAGAGGTCGTGACCGACGGCGTGCTAGTGCGGCTGCTGCACCAGAACCCCACGCTCGAGGGGTACGGAGCAGTGTTCTTCGACGAGTTCCACGAGCGGAACATCGAGTCCGACCTGAGCTTCTCCCTCTGCCTGGCAGCCCACCGCGCCAACAACTGCCGCTTCAAGCTCGTCATCATGAGCGCAACTTTCGGCAACCTGGCGGAGAGCCTGAGAAATATTCTGGGCAAAGTGGGCACGGTCCGCAGCGAGGGCACCACCTTCCCCGTCGAGGTGCGGCACGTGGACCTCGTGGCGGATCTCAACAACTACGAGCCGGAGGGCCCGCAGAAGTTCGCGGAGCAGGTCGCAGGTGTCATCCAGGGAGCGCTCGGTGAGCATACCGGCGACGTGCTGGTGTTCCTGCCCGGCGAGCGGGAGATCATGTACACGTGGATCGCTCTGAACAACATGGGCATCGGCGATGGACAGGTGCCCAGAAATCTGGCCGGCTGGGCGTGGAAGCTGATCGACCGGAAGGCTGCCGACCTCGGCAGGAGGATCGTTGTCCACACCCTCTATGGCACGCTGGACCAGGGCGAGCAGGACGAGGCGCTGTCACCGCCGCCCCAGGGCTGGCGCAAGGTTATCCTGGCGACGCCCATTGCGGAGTCCTCCATCACCGTGCCGGGTGTTCGCGTGGTGGTGGACGCAGGCCTCAAGCGCATCAAGGTGGAGGACCCCGTCGCGTGCACGAGCACGATGGAAACTGTGCCGATTTCGATCACCTCGGCCGACCAGCGAAAGGGACGCGCTGGGCGCGTGAGCGAGGGCGTGTGCTACCGCCTATGGAGTGAGAGGCACCACGAGAGGCTGCAGCAGAACGACACCCCCGAGATCCACAGGTCGGACCTGTCCCCGTGCTTGCTGGACCTGTCCGTCCAGGGCTACGTGTCCGACGACCAGATCGCGGCGCTGCCCTGGGTGGACCCACCGAAGGTGGAGGACCTCGGCATTGCCAGGGAGCTCCTGGCCCGCCTGCGTGGCGTCGAGAAGCGGCCCGACGGCGGCTGGGCCCTCACCGTGCGCGGGCGCCAGCTGGCCCAGTTCCCGGTGCACCCGAGGCTGGCGCACGCGATATTGCAGGCCGCGCACGTGTCCGAGAGCTTCGCGCGCGACGCGTGCGATCTGGCGGCGCTGATGGAGGAGAAGGAGCTGCTGCGAGGCGGCCGCCCGAGGCACGGGGGCGACCTGGAGGCCCGCCTCGACGCGCTGCAGTCGAAGAAGAACCGGGACGTCATCTGGGCCGTCCGGGAGCGCGTGCTGATGGCGTCCGAGCAGCTGCAGCGCATCGCGGGCCTCGGTACGGTGGAGAGCGGCCGGCGACAGAGCGCCAGCGAGCGCAGGTCGCTCTGCGTGCTGCTCGCCTGGGCCTTCCCGGAGCTGCTGGCCAGGGCCGAGCGTGGAGGCGGCAGTGGCGGCCAGCGGCGCTACAGGATGCGCTACAGCCAGCTGGCGACGCTGGACGGCAGGGACCCGCTTGCCAAGGAGCGCGACCTCGCCATTCGAAGAAGGAAAGACGCCATAAACATCAACTTTTGGCGCTCCGCGCGGATTTCTTGGATCCGCGCTGGGCCCCCCGGCGGCGCCTCCGGCGCCGCCCCTGGCGCGGATCCAAGAAATCCGCGCGGAGTGCCAAAAGTTTCTGTTTGCACAGCGTTTTTCCTTCTTCTGGCCATCGCGTCGCTCACTGGCAATAGGATCTTCTGGGCCCTCAGGATCGGAGGTGGATAGACCTCCTACCCTGACACGTCGATTAGTGAACCGGCCGTTTTCGCTTCGCGAGAGGGCGTCGCGGCCTTCATCTTTGCGGGTCCAGGACCGTCGGTTTCGGTCCCAGGCCGTTTTCGCTACGGGGAGGCTTACTGAAGGGAGGTTTGTCCACCGCCGACAGGATGGACCCCGAGCTGCTGCCGAAGTACGGCATCGACCCGGAGAACGCCGGGGCCCACCGGGTGTACAGCAGAGCTCCCGCGGGCGGCGCGGGCCTGCCTGTGGTGCTCCAGCGCTACCTGGCGGGGAAGGACTGCGCCGGCGTGGCCAGCTCGGAGGAGCTCGTGGGCAGCCTTGCCCGCGACTCTGCGCAGTGGCCCCCTGCGGAAGTGGACGCCATGCTGTGGGACCTGGCGTGGGCAGAGCCAGCCCAGGTCGGCCTGATGCAGAGCCTGGCGCGGAGGGTGGTGACGCCGAGGGCCAGCGAGTTCGAGGCCAGCCAGCTCGCGCGTGTTGCCTGCGCAATGGTAATTGCCGGTATCCGCGATGATGACATATTCAATGATATCGCGACCGCCATAACTCCTCGAATCGGCGAGCTCGTGCTAGACAGCGAGGGGGGCAACCTCTGCAGCCTGCTCTGGGCGTACACCGAGGTGGGTGTCTCCAATGCTGATCTGTTTGCTGCCCTTGCAAGCCGCGCGTGTTCCGAAATGGGGGCTTTCAAGCCAACTGTGCTCTCAAGCGTGCGCAATGTGTGCTTCTGGTCTTTTCACCGCGCCTCTAGCGACTCCTGGTCCAACAAAAGGAGAAAAGGCCGCTCTGGAGGTAATAAGGGCTTTGCGTCGAAAGACTTTTTCAAAGCTTTGTCGCCGATCGTGATCCGGAGCCTTGCCGAGATCCATCCGATAACTTGCGTGTACCTCATGTGGAGCTATAGCAAGGGGGGGGTCAACGACCCGGAGCTGTTCAACGCCATTGCCAAACACGTGGGCCCTCGAGCGAAAGATTTGGATCGTTGTGGTGTCACCATGTTCTGCTGGAACTATGCGTACATTGGCGCCGAGAACGAAGGAGTGTATAGACACGTGAGGGACGACTGCATGCGGCCAGAGCGCATGGCGGAGATGGCCCCGCGGGACACGGCCTGCATGCTTTGGGCCTTCGCGAAGGCGGGTGTCAGAGACCGTGAGCTCGCCGATGCGCTCGTGGATCAGAGCTACGGGCTCCTGAGGGACGGCATGGTGCAGGGTTGCTACCGTGGGCCTGCGAAGTCCCTCAAGCGCGACATATACGTAGGGGATCTGAGTGCGGTTGACGGCGCCGTCGACTCTTTCGACATCACCAACCTCGGAGACATGCTCGTAGGACTTGTGGACCTGCAGATGGCCCCTGCCAGCTTTCTCGAGCTCGTCGATGAGTACGTTGCCAACGGCCTCGACCAGGAGGATCGCCTGATAGAGCGCTTCGTGGGCTATCCGAAGGCGAAGGGCGTGGCGAAGGTTCTCCACGCGCTCGCACAGCTGGATACCGGCAGCGACCGCCTTCTCAGAGCGGCAGGCCCCTACTGCCTGCGGCACCTGCGCGATCTCAGCAGCGGCGACGTCATAAGCCTGCTGTGGACGTGGGCCGTGCGGGGGCTGAGGTCTGACACCGTGGTGGCCGACCTGCACCTGCACCTCCGCGAGCAGCTCTTGGGCCGCCGCGTGCGGGGCGTCACAGGCAAGCAGGCGTCCAGCGCCCTGTTCGCTCTTCGCGAGCTGGGCATCGACGACGAAGAGCTGAGAGGGGTGCTGACGGGCCCGCCCTGAGTGTTATGTCGCCACCACAAAGTGAGTCCGCACACCTATGTAGCTTCGGTTCTTCCGCTCTCAGCCCTGAGCGCCCCTCGTCCCTCCGCTCCATGCTGCCTGTCGCTTCTCCAACACAGTGTCGACCGGGTGATACATGTCTTGGGGCCGGTCAGGCGTACGCACACGGGCAATACTGTGCCGTGCCCTGGCGTCTAATCAGACGCATCGCGTACGTTGAAGGTTGACATGATGTTTTTGTATTACTGAAGTGTTTATTAAGTTTGCATCACATGCGCTGATGGATAACGTTCCGCTGGTGTTATCTGTTTATTATGTATCTCGCTTCAGCACCGCGCACGTTTGTCTCAAGCGTTAGCAGCAGCCACGCGGATGGAAAACGAATGGTTTTCTAAATGTCTCGCATTGGTACCGCGCGCATTTTGTTGTTGTTGTGGTTGTGGTTGTGCTTGTGGTTGTGGTTCTTGTTGTTGTAGTTGTGGTTGTGGTTGTGGTTGTGGTTGTCGTTTTTTGTGTTTGTTAGAATCGCAACGCTCGCGCGGCTGAGGTGTTATATATTTGTACAACTATATGTATGTGTGTGTGTTGTGTGTGTGTGTGTCTGTCTGTGTGTGTGTGTGGTGGGTGGATGTGCGTGTGGTCGAAACTTTGGCTGGCTTTGAGCCTGTCGCGCATCGAGTGAGTGCATTTGTGTAACCCGGCTCTGGTTCGCTTGTCCGGGCCGTTAATTCCTGAATGGCCCGCCCCGCCCGGGACGCTTCAAAATGTGTGCGTGTGGGTTTTATTTTGTGTGTGCTTCTCATGTTCATTTTGAACGGTTCCAGTCGTGGCAATGATGGAGGGTGGTTTATTACCTAACAGCGAAGACTGATAGGTTTCTAGTGGTCTCAAAAGAGAGCAGCAGATGACTCCACAGGGGGGTCTGGGCGGGTGCCGGACAGGGTGCCGCAGAACTCATTTTAAGCCAACAGTCACACACTTCGTGCTCTTCGACTTCCGCAGCACTCGCATTCCCGGGGCCACAATTCTGAAATGCCCGGAGCCACTGTAGGCCACTTCGTGCTCTTCGACTTCCCAGAACTCCATTCCCGGGCCACATTTTGAATGCCCGGAGCCAACTGTAGGCCACTTCGTGTCTTCGAGTCCCCAGAACTCCATTCCCGGGCCACATTTTGAATGCCCGGAGCCAACTGTAGGCCACTTCGTGTCTTCGAGTTCCCAGAACTTCATTCCTGGGCATGATTTTGAATGCCCGGAGCCAACTGTAGGCCACTTCGTGGTGTTCGAGTTCCCAGAACTCCATTCCTGGGCATGATTTTGAATGCCCGGAGCCAACTGTAGGCCACTTCGTGTTCTTCGAGTGCCCAGAACTCCATTCCCGGGCCACA